AAGTTTTCCCCCAGCCCTTGATTGCTGTGAATATAGGTCGCAAATTTCGTGACTGGCCATCGTTAATTCTTGTTTGGATAAGCGTCATTTTTTCTGTGGTCAAGATTCTGAGCAAATTTTTGTTTCAAAAATATCCTCATTCGAATAGATTTGCAAACATTCATGAATACTCAAAGCAACAAGAATGTTTTTCGCTAATAAACTAAAATAGCATTTACATATCTCGCAGGATGTTGACTTTGATTTAATCTCAAATCCTCTTTCATGATAAAAATTTCGATGGACAAAACCTTGCTCTAGCCCAAGATACTCCTTCGACAGGAGCCAATGATTTGCACTCTATAATTGACTACTTGATTTTTTCAGTGGTCCCGTCACCTAATTTGGCCATGGTTCATTTGCATAATATCGTCTATTCTGTGCTCTTTGGCTTACTGTATTATGTGGTGGGCAGGAGATGTGCGAGATTATTGGATGGCTCTCACCATTTTGGAAATCATCGCTGTCTTCATCAATGTAAAAATCATTTTTCATATTTTGATGCTTATTTGAACATTTGTATAATCAGGTATATTGCGTGGTTGTGGTGTATATGTTCATGAGGCGGCTGGCTGCTACGACAGATGAATATGAAGGGAAAAGTCCACAAGTGAGGTATAAGGTCAACCGGAATGGTTACACAAGGAAGGAATTTGATGATTATCGTGAGTTTCTAATTTTTCTGAACAATTTTTGGTGCTTTTAAGGTGAGTTTTGATCCATTTAGCATATGACATTCGTCGAGCGACTCCAGAAAAGATTATGAAAAATTCTTATCCTCACCATACAACTCGTAAGCTTCCTTTCTATACTAACACTTTCCTTGTGTGCTTTTTTGCCAAAATATATGTATATTGCACTTCTAGTTTGTATTTTTGCTTTATCTAGTTGAAAAGCCTAGAAAATCTCACCATGCATAGATTTTGATTGAGAAGACCAAATAGTAAGTCAATGCTTCTCACTCCTATCCGTTGCACCATGCTCCTCTTGTTTCAAATCTCTTTATTTTTTCAAATACTGGAATTACTCAATTCAGCCATGCGTCCAACATATCCACCGTATACCCCTAGTGAAATCCCTCAGACTCCACTGCCAATGCCGCCACGCAGACATACCCCGGTTCCACCTTATCCTGTCGACGATCGTGAGGTAAATA